CTTTTTAAATTGTTTTAGTTTTAGTTAACTGTAATACAGCACAGAATCCTTTGTTGAATATCCCAGAACTAACAAAGTCTTTCTCTCTGCAGGGAAACAGACTCTCACCTCTCCAGTTCTACCTCAGTTCGTTTTTACCCTCATGACCTGGTGAGTGCTACCAAATACACACAAACACAGACTGAATGTTTTCTTTATGCAAACACTCAGATATAATTCAGCCACTGACTGTGAGAAAAAAACATTTGACATACAGTGTAAAATTATGCGCTTGTATGTACAATAGCGCTTGTATGAGAAGCAGCACAGTTGAGAGCAGCACAGTTGAGACAACGAGCTCAGTGTGTGTGTGTAAACTCACCCTGGCTTAGTTCTCTTTTCCTCAGATGCGTCTGAATCGTTTACTGTCCATGGACCCAGAGCTGTTGGAACAGCACGATGTGAATGGGAGTCCTGACCTGCAGGAGGCGCCGCACTGCACGCAGGACTCCACGCATAATCACACACACTCGCACACGCACCCACACAAAACCAAGCAGTACTACCGCCTCTGGCTGCTGCCGTACCTGTGGGTCAGGCTGCACTTTGACAGACTCACATTACTTGCCCTCTTCGACAGGTACACACAAACCCACACATTAATGTGTATTGCTGATGTGTCTCAGCTCATATCCCGATGATGCTGCATGTGTTTGTGTGTGTTTGTCAGGAACCGGGAGGTTCTGGAGAATGTGCTCTCAGTGGCTCTGGCGGTTCTCGTGGCCTTCCTGGGTTCTGTGCTGCTAGTTAATGGGTTCTTCACTGACATTTGGGTCTTTCAGTTCTGCCTCGTTATTGCCAGTTGCCAGTACTCATTGCTGAAGGTGAGAATCACACACTTTTCAAAAACATACCAATAATGAATCATTTTTAATGAAAATGTGTCTTTCTGTTCTTCAATCAGAGTGTCCAACCCGACTCTTCATCACCCCGACATGTGAGTAACACACACATTCAAATACAATAACACGCTTCATTACAATGAGCTAAAAGCATGTAAATTTGGTGGAAAAATAAATGGGATAATTGCGGTGATTAAAGGGATGGTTCACCCAAAAATTAAAGTTCTGTCATCATTTAATCACCCTTAATTTGTTCCAAACCTGTATGAATTTCTTGCTTCTGCTGAACAACACAAAAGAAGATTGTATAATGTTGGTAACCAAACAGTTACCAAAATATTGAGCTGCACATGCGTTTTCAACATTGAAAATGATAAGAATGTCTCTTGAGCAACAAATCATCATATTAGAATAATTTCCGAAGGTTCATGTGACTCTGAAGATGGGAGTAATGGCTGCTGAAAATTCCGCTTTGCCATCACACAAAATTAAGTTACCTTTTAAAATATATTAAAATAGAAAAAAGTTACATTTTAAATTGTAGTAATATTTCACAGTATTACAGTTTTCACTATGTTGTTGTTGATCAAAGAAATGCAGCCTTAAAGGGTTAGTTCACCCAAAAATGAAAATTAGGCTGCGTTTTACTCACCCCCGATAAAACGGAAGCAGTTCCGGGGGAATTACGTATGAGGTCAGCTTTGCGCATGCGCCGCTCAGAAGTGACGCACGCAGAGAGATCGAAACAAAACAACGGTCACTAATTAGAAGTACAAAACGAGGATTTGTAAAGAAGAATGTCGGAGGATTTCGATATAAGCTAAGAGGAGACTTGTTTTCCTTGTAAGGAGTAAGGAAACTTTGCTTCTTTTGATCCTGTAAACAAACGTTGGTTTTCACGAGACTCACCGCGCAACGCTGACCTCATACGTCATGCTTCCGGAACGGCTTCCGTTTTACAACAGTGAGCGCTCTCTTTCGCTCTCCAGTTTTCACTTTGTGCTTTCCCATCATCTTCTTCATTGGGCTGCTCCCTCAGATTAACACTTTCGTCATGTACCTGCTTGAGCAACTTGACATTCATATCTTCGGAGGAAACGGTAAAACATATGCACACTTTTACATTAGGATTGGGGAAAATAAGCATATGCATTGTGATTCTTTCTGAAATGATTCCTATTATTAATAACTTTTGATTTTAATAATGTATTAATTCAGGGGTGAGTAAAACGCAGCCTAATTTTCATTTTTGGGTGAACAAACCCTTTAATAAGCAAAATAGACTTCTTTCAAAAACATTTAAGTCATATTGCCTTCAACCCTTTGGTGTATATTCATGATTATATGTTATTTAATTAATAGCACCTAGCATGATAAATTGCGTTTAATTACCGACAATGCATTACTTTTTGTTGAATATAAAAAAACATTTAAGTTAAATGAGAGATTGGGGGTCTAAGTTCAGAGATGTAATGTTTTTCTCACCCTTCTGTGCGTGTTTGTTTAGGGTCATAATCGAATCATCGCTTACAGCAGGCCTGTGTATTTCTGTCTGTGCTGTGGGCTGATCTGGCTGTTGCACTATGGGAGTGTAAACAGCAGCTACACTGCAGTGTCTCTGTATGGAGTCGCTCTCACCAGCTCCGTCCTGCTGTCTCAGGCGCGGGATCTCCTCATTGGTGAGCACTGATACACACGAGGACATAAATTCACAGCAGATGAATATGTAGCAGTTTTCACAAAAAATTGTTTTGCTCTTTTATTGAAATCTGCATGCTGTACGATTTTTCTCAGCATTCCTATGAAAGATATTCCAGAGCCGAGTACAGAGAAAATCCTGCTGATGTGACGAGACTTAAGTACTCCAGCTTTACATTATCTCTCTCTATTTCTCTTTCGCTCTCCAGTTTTCACTTTGTGCTTTCCCATCATCTTCTTCATTGGGCTGCTCCCTCAGATTAACACTTTCGTCATGTACCTGCTTGAGCAACTTGACATTCATGTCTTCGGAGGAAATGGTAAAACATATGCACACTTTTACATTAGGACTGGGAAAAATAAGCATATGCATTGTGATTGTTTCTGAAATTATTCCTTTGAATTTTAACAAATTATTATTACTATTAATGACTTTGATTTTAATAATGTATTAATAAATGTTGAAATTAACATTAACTAATTTTTATTGTTAGTTTGTGTTCTAAAAATCTAGTTAATTAATGTGAACAAATAGAACCTCATTGTAAAGTTACCAATGTTTCTACTATTTCTTTTTATTTACATACATTTAATTTCATAAAATACAAAACTGTGTTGTGTTTTAGAGACTCGTTGTTATGTCTATCTTCACTCCCAGCATGCACCAGTCTGCTCTCAGCTCTCTATAGTGTTGTGCGCAGCATCATCACCATAGCGATGCTCTATGGGTTCTGCTATGGCGCCCTAAAGGTGATGAATCACTCCACATTTCTTTTGAATTCTTTCTGGATTTTTGTTATATTTGTATGGATGCTGGATTGTTCTGTGTTGAGCACATTTAATATTCCTCTGAATATTATGTTTGTTTTTAGGACTCGTGGGATCCTCAGCACATTCCTGTGCTTTTCTCAGTGTTTTGTGGGCTGTTGGTTGCTGTTTCATACCATCTCAGCCGCCAAAGCAGTGACCCCTCTGTTCTCATGTAAGTCTTAACTGTGAGTGTGTGGGTTTGTGTTTTTGATAAGCTTTAAGTACTTTAGGTTCTTTGACTATGTACTGTCTCAGGATTCAGTGACTCTTGATTTGATGTTTAAGGACCTTTTATTGTTTGACTGCACAGTAGTTAGTTTGAATTTTCTGAATTTAAATATTATCTTGTGTTTGTATAGTTCGTTAGTGCAATCAAAGGTCTTCCCTAATGTGAAAGAGAAAAATCCAGAGGATCCCCTTTCTGAAGTTGAGGATCCTTTACCAGAGAAACTCCGCAGCTCTGTGGTGAGTAATGTACACATAAATCTCTCAAACATAGATACAAACAGATGTAAATAGACACAAATGCTCTCTTCTGTCTTGAATGATGCATCTGTGTCTCTCTCTTTCTCTCTGGCTACAGAATGACAGACTACAGTCAGATGTGATTGTGTGTGTTGTCATTGCTGTCCTGTATTTCGCTATTCACGTCAGCACTGTCTTCATTGCCTTACAGGTAAAACACTATGATTAGTGATGCAGCAATGTTAAAATTTTGTCCAATACTGATATGCTGATAATTATCATTTGTGTGGCTGATAACCGATACATGGCCATATTAAAATATGTTCTACTAGGGCTGGGCGATATATTATAGCAGCACAACTGTTTAAAACATTGGTAATATTAAGAAATCATGTGATCATGTGACACTGAAGACTGGAGTAATGACTGCTGAAAATTCAGCTTTGCCAGCACAGAAATAAATTACAATTAAAAAATATATTAAAATGGAAAACAGTTATTTTAAATTGTAATAGCTGTCCGAATAAAACTGTAGTGAAATATCCAAAGGAAAATAAATAGGCAGTTCTTGACTCTTCTTGTCCCTCTTTCCTCTTTTCTAGCCTTTTTTGAGCTATGTCCTGTACGGTCTGGTTGGGGCAGTAGGGCTGTTAACTCACTACCTGTTGCCCCAGATGAGGAAGCAGTTACCCTGGTACTGCTTCTCACACCCGCTGCTCAAAACCAGGGAGTACTATCAGTTTGAGATCCGGGGTAAGTGATCCTACAGATTTTGCAAATTTAAGTTATGTAAAGATAACACTCTTTGTTCTGCTTGGACTCGGTTAGCATGAACAGTACTGAAGCGTGTGTTTTCTGTGAGCAGGTGCCGCCCATGTGATGTGGTTTGAGCGTACACATGTGTGGCTGCTGTTTGTGGAGAAAAACATCCTCTATCCACTCATTGTGCTTAATGAGATGAGTGGCAGCGCACAGGAGCTCGCCAGCCCCAGGAAACTAAACACAGAGTCTGTATTACCTCTTCTATCTGACCTGCTGTCTTATTTCCTTACATTCAGTGTTACTGTGGTTTTTTTATCGACTAACTGATTGACTGTCTGCACCAGATCATTGTGTAATAGGTCAACATTGTTCTACGCTATTATTTACAAGCAGTCAATTAATTATTTCTCTCTCTCAGGGTCGGGGCTCTAGTGATAACCATCGCTGGGCTGAAGCTGCTGCGTTCTTCCTTCAGTAGTCCAACATATCAGTATGTCACTGTCCTCTTCACGGTCCTGTTCTTCACATTTGATTACCGGCAGTTTTCCGAGACATTGCTGCTGGACCTTTTCGTTATGTCCATCGTTTTCAGCAAGGTCAGCCCTAATTCCTATAGCATCTTTTACTCTTTCAGAAGTTCTGTTTTATAACTCTGTGATGTGTTGTGTTTTGTAGTTATGGGAGCTCTTTTATAAGTTGAAGTTTGTTTATACCTACATCGCACCCTGGCAGATTACCTGGGGCTCTGCCTTCCATGCCTTCGCCCAGCCGTTTGCAGTGCCACGTATCCTGAACACACAAGTGTGTTTTAGATTTAACATAGTTTACAGGCTTTGTCAAATTCAGGTGTCTTTCTTGTTGTTTCTTGCTGTTCTTCCTTGACTTGGTCCCCTCCAGACTCTGCCATGTTGTTCGTACAGGCCATTGTGTCTGCAGTTTTCTCCACTCCATTAAACCCTTTTCTTGGCAGTGCCATCTTCATCAGCTCGTACGTACGACCTGTGCGCTTTTGGGAGAGAGAATACAAGTAAGACACTCTTGAATATCAGTATCTCCTGTTTCCTTTTGCCTTTTTACCCCAGCCCACAAAGCATTTATAAGATTAAAGTTTAATTTTTGTGTTTTAGTACTAAGCGAGTTGATCACTCCAACACTAGACTTGCTTCGCAGCTTGACAGAAACCCAGGTACAACTACATACATTGTCTGTTGTAAATGTAAAATCATTCTTAATTTAGTCTCTTGCCTGTGGTGTTCTAGATTTGTGTGACATGTGGCATCTCTTCTCATCCCTCATGTTGTCAGGTTCAGATGACAATAACTTGAACTCCATCTTCTATGAGCATTTGACGCGTTCCCTGCAGCATTCTCTGTGTGGAGACCTGCAGCTGGGCCGCTGGGGAAACTACAACATCGGAGACTGCTTCATCCTGGCATCTGATTACCTCAATGCTCTCGTTCACCTTGTTGAGATTGGCAATGGCCTCATCACCTTCCAGCTCAGAGGACTTGAGTTTAGAGGTGAGGAGAGAAAAAGCTAAGGAGAGAGAGACTAAATCTGCAATTGAAAGAGAAACAAACACTAAATCAAATAGTTACACTATACCATTAAAAATTTTGGAGTCAGTAAGTTTTTTAATTTTTAATTTTTTGAAAGAAATTAATACTTTTATTCATTACAGATGTATTAAATTGATCAAAAATGAAAGTAAAAATATTTATAATGTTACAAAATTGTAATGTTAATATTTCAAACAAATTCTTTTCTTTTGAACTTTCTATTCATCAAAGAATCCTGAAAAAATGTATCATGATTTCCACACAAATATTAAGCAGTACAACTGTTTTCAACAATAACAAAATAAGAAAAATGTTTCTTGAGCATGAAATTGGCATATTAGAATTATTTCTGAAGGATCATGTGACACTGAAGACTGGAGTAATGATGCTGAAAATTCAGCTTTGCCATCACAGTAATAAACTACATTTTTAAAATATATTCAAATACAAAACAATAATTTTAAAATGTAAAAATATTTCACAGAATTACTGTTTTTTTTTTTTTTTTTTACTCTTATTTTGGTAAAAAAAAAAAAGGTGAGCATAAGACACTTCTTTCAAAAACATGAAAAAGTATTATAGACCCCAAACTTTTGAACAGCAGAGTAAGTTCTGACCGTTATAGTTCTTGAAATTGTAATATATTAGGTAAAAACAGGATTTTGCTTGCTCTTTTTAAATGAAATGGTTCACTGTTCTCTGAATTTAGAAATTAAAGCTCTCTCCTCAATCCACCCAAATCATTTGTAAATATTAAGCCGCAAAAACAGGTAATTCAGAAATCAATAAGTTAGGAATGTTACAACCATGAGCACATTAACATAACTGCCCAGATTTACAACGCCTAGCCTATTTAGTATTCAGCAACTTGGTGGGGGTGTGGTTACTGAGATTTGAGGAGGTAAGCATTCGTAAGAGAGATCATTTATATATCTTCATGCAGTGTAGCAAAACAGACCATTTATAACATTTTAAATGAGTTATTAATTTTGAAAGGATTATTTGAGTCTAGTCTAGTTAAAAGATTCTGTCTCCTTTCTTTTCCTCTCTCTATCTCAGGGACGTATTGCCAGCAGAGGGAGGTGGAGGCGATAACAGAGGGAGTCGAAGAAGATGAAAGCTGTTGTTGCTGTGAGCCCGGTCATCTCCCCCATCTGCTGTCCTTCAATGCTGCATTCGGACAGCGCTGGCTGGCCTGGGAGGTTCTGGTCACTAAATACGCCCTGGAGGGCTACAGCATCACCGATAACAGTGCCGCATCTATGCTGCAGGTGTTTGATCTGCGGCGAATCCTCACCACCTACTATGTTAAGGTCAGCAGACAAACTTCCAACCCTGTACCAAACTGCTCTTTTGATAATTGGCTAGGCAAGTAAAAAAAAATAATGCCCTGAAATTGTTTAAAATCATTTGTTTATTATTTATGTATGTTTGTAGGGCATCATTTATTATGTCATTGCATCTCCTAAACTGGAGGAGTGGCTGGCAAACGAAGCCCTTCTTGAGGGCTTGAAGAGCTGCGGAGAGCGAAATTATGTTGACTTGGATCCGACTTTTAACCCCAATATTGATGAAGATTATGACCACAGACTGGCTGGAATCTCCAGAGACAGTTTCTGCTCTGTTTACCTCAGCTGGATCCAGTACTGCAACTCACGGAGAGAGAAGGTAAACATGTTCAGCCACACAAACATGTCTGATGAATATGTTTAAAAGCTGATGAGTGAAAAGTAGTCTACACTACCTTTTAAAAGTTTGGTGTTTGTAAGGTTTTTTTGTAAGTTTGTAAGTCTGATTCTCACCAAGACTCCATTTAACTGATCAACAACGACAACAAAAAAACAGTAATACTGTTAAATATTATTGCAATTTAAAATACCTGTTTTCTGTTTTAATATATTTTAAAATGTAATTTATTCCTGTGACTACAGAGCTGATTTTTTTAGCATCATTACTTGAGTCTCAGTGTCACATGATCCTTCAAGGGATAGTTCACCTTCAGTTGCTGGTCCCATTGACTTGCATAGTGTTTTTTTTTAATTTCTTCAGGAGTTCCATAAGAACAGTGCACTGCTCTTGTCTGTCAAACACACACATACACAGAGCAACACTCTGGGTTTCTGTCAATCACACTTGAACTTCCTTCTCCTGAATGTGGGTAACCAAACAGTTTCTGGTCCCCATTGACTTTCATAGTGTTTTTTTTTTCCATACTATGGAAGTCAATGGGGACCAGCAACTGAAGGTGAACTATCCCTTTCAGAAATCATTCTAATATGCTGATTTGCTGCTCAAGAAACATTTATTACTATTATAAGGAAACCGTGACATGTTTTTTAAGGATCCATTTATCATTAGAAAGTTAAGAAACAGCATTTTTAAATGTTTTTTTACATTTAATGCATCCTTGCTGTATAAAAGTATTAATTCTTTCAGAAAAAAAAAGAAATGAAAAAAAATCATACTGACCCCAAACTTTTGAACTGTAATGTTAGTAAACAAACTTTTTACCTTACTGCTGTCTCTCTCTATTTCTTTCAGCCACTGGACAGTGAGAAAGACTCTCTGTTGGTTTTGTTGTGTTACGGCCTGTGTGTTTTGGGAAGGAGAGCTCTGGGAACTGCATCTCACCATATGTCCAGGTGGGGGAGCAAAAATCCTTTACTGTGCTGGAGTTTTTCCAAAAAGCTTGTTATGAAGACATTATTTTGCAGTTCGTTTGTTCTAATGGTGTGTGTTTGTGTTTTTACAGTAATCTGGAGTCTTTCCTGTATGGGTTGCATGCATTGTTTAAGGGAGATTTCCGGATCTCATCTGTAAGAGACGAATGGATCTTTACTGACATGGAACTGCTGAGAAAGGTGGTTGTCCCTGGAATTCGCATGTCACTTAAACTGCACCAGGTGAGACATTTGTGTCTGAAAGAACTATTAATGTCATCTGTTTTCTGTGTCTCACTTCAAATATGACTTGTATTATTTTATTCTTTTGGGTCGTATTTTAACCAGAGTTAAACTCTCTCTGCAGGATCACTTCACCTCCCCTGATGAGTATGAGGAATCATCTGTGTTGTTTGAGGCGATATCTTCACACGAGCAGACACTGGTGATCGCTCATGAGGGTGACCCGGCCTGGCGCAGCGCTGTCCTGTCCAACTCTCCCTCTCTGCTCGCCCTTAGACATGTGTTGGACGAAGGGACCAACGAATACAAGATCATCATGCTTAACAGACGCTATCTCAGCTTCAGGGTCATAAAAGTGAGCAACAAAAAAGACAGGATAAAATGGAAGAAAGTAGACTGACAGGGAAAAGACAACTTATTTTATTAGCATGTAAATGATTTTCCATATATGCATGTTCTTAGGTGAATAAGGAGTGTGTACGCGGCCTGTGGGCGGGACAGCAGCAGGAATTGGTGTTTTTGCGGAACCGAAACCCGGAGCGTGGAAGCATCCAGAATGCCAAGCAAGCACTACGCAACATGATAAACTCTTCATGCGACCAGCCAATCGGATACCCCATCTATGTGTCACCCCTGACAACATCTTACTGTAATACACACCCACAGCTAAGACGCATTCTGGGAGGACCAATCAGCATTGCCAACATACGAAACTTTATAGTCAACACGTGGCACAGGTTTGTGTGTGTGGTTGAATGAATGAGAATTTACATGTTTTGATTATAATAATAATGACGCTCATCTTTCTCACTGCAGACTGCGTAAGGGTTGCGGCGCTGGCTGTAACAGTGGCGGGAATGTTGAAGATTGTGATGCGGGTGGCTTGTCATGTGGCAGTGGGAATTCTGGGATAGCAGCGAGTGATTCCCAGCACAGCTCAGGACTCACAGCACTGCACGCTTACACACATCATTCTCTGGGTAAACACAGTCACTTGCTGGTTGTACACACGCACGTTTACTGTATAATTTGCATATACAATGGGTATAGAAAAGCCATCAACCCCCTTTAAAATAATTACATTTTGTTGCTTTGCAGCCTGAAGACGGACACAGTTTTTGTTTTATCCAGCTGTATTTACTCAGTGCAACTTATAACATCCAAGTGAAAGATATAACACCAACATGTCAGAAAAAAATAAAAAAACAGAATCACTGAGTTGGAAAAAGGATAAGACCCTTGCGTCAGTACTTTGTTGAACTACCTTTTGCTTTATTTACAGCCTTTAGTCTGTTGGGAGATGACTCTACTAACTTTGCACATCTAGACTTTGCAATATTTGCCCACTCTTCTTTGCAGAACTGCTCAAGTTCAGTTAAATTTGATGGTGAGCGTTTGTGGACTGCAATCTTATAATCATTCCACAGATTTTCAATGGAGTTTAAGTCTGGGCTCTGACTAGGCCATGCAAGGACATTCACCTTTTTCTCCTTTAACCACTGTGTGCTCAGTTTTGCTGTGTGCTTTGGGTCATTGTCATGTTGTCATCTTCCCATTGACAAATTTCTGGCAGAGGGTGGCAGATTTTCCTCAAGAATTTGATGATATTTTGCCCCATCCATTTTTCCTTCTATCCTGACAAGTGCTCCAGTCCCTGCTGCAGAGAAACACCCCACTTTGACAGGATATCACCACTTCCATGTTTTACTGTAGGAATGCTGTTATTTGGATGGTGAGCACATCGTTTGGTGTTGAGGCCAAATAATTCAATTTTATTCTCATCTGCCTCAGAAACTTCAAGGTGTGTTTTGGCAAAGCTAATTTGTGACTGCATGTGGCCTTTCTTGAGGAGTGGCGTTTTTCTTGCA